TGGTAGATATGTCTTAAGACCAAATACAATTGGTTGGGTTAAAGCTTAAAATTTAAGCTTGAAACCCCCTAAAGCATTTCCAATTATTAGGCTTTGATAAGCCATGGGAAGGAAAAAAAATAGGACTTGATTCCCCCTAGAATTTAAGCTTGACTTAAAGGCTAGGCCCGCCCTTGCACGTACACGTGCTTGAAAAGTTTGCAACTACAACTTACTGACGGGCCAAACGCAACCCACGTGACAAAGTTGTAGCACTGGGTCTTTGTGACTAAGAGCTTTGTCAGCCACTACTTCCGAGCCCAATGACTCTTTGGTTGATCGAACAATTGGCATGATTGAACCGTTGGTTGATCCAACGGTCTATGATGCAAAATTTATTTTATTTTTAATTACATTAAATCGAATGGCTGTTATCAAGTAGGAATTTAAAAATAAAAAAAAAATCACCAAAAAAATTAGTCTAGAATTAATTTTTTAATAATTCGAGTCTTGAATTTTAAGTAATAACTATTGGAGAAAAAAAAAATTATTTCTAAGTTATAGCTTAAAATTTTCTCGGTTAAAATTTTAAGCTTGAACTCACACCATTCCACGTGGTCTTAGTGGTGTGTTGTGCATAAACAAATGTTGATTTGGTTTGTAGGCTAGATAAGGTTTGATTGAGTGAAAATATTACATCAAATGTCAACTCGAACTTACGCATATATAGCGATTAATAATTTTTTGAAATATAATGATATTTGAAGTTGGGAATTTGAGCACAAGTAACACTGTTAAACTATAATAATATTAGTATTTCATTGCGTCTAGCTATTCATTTTTTTTTTTTCTTCTTTAAAAATTTATGCCTCACTATGCAATCAAACCTTTAGACTTTACTATTAAATACTAAGAGAAAAACTTATATGGATTCAAATGTTACAATAACAATGAAATCGTTCCCATATAAGTATTTCTCAGATAATGGGATGAAAACGTTTAAAACATGTTTTTAGAAACCAAGTTATTTGTCCAGAAGTCAAGTGGGCCAAAATCATAAAATGGTAAACATTCCTCCAATGGTAAAATCAATGGAAAATATCTGGATATGTTAGCAAAGTATTACTCGAGCAAACAAAAATTAGCAAACTGTTGTACTAATTTGGTAATTAATTACTCGGCAACGACAATTCCACAGAAGGTATGCGCCACGCGTGTATCCAGCGCGTCGGATTAACACGATTCTTCTTCGTCGGTGCATGCATGGCTAGCGCGCGTAAGGGTGTCGATGTCGGGGATTTGGCAGCTTTCCTTTCATCCACGCGGTGTTTTGGAAATGATTGTGTGGTCTCATGTACTCCGTATTTCGGTGGTCTGTCTTAGCGATTTTTCATTTTTGTATTTTATTATATTTTTCTTTTTGGTCTCAAGTCTGCCTCAGCAAGTTTCGAATATGTGTGTTTTTGGGTGGGATGGGTTATAATTGTGCAGACCCAGAACTGATTCACTCCCAATATTCAATTGTGATTAACGAATATGCTGTACTATTGTTTTAATCGAAACTGTTCGTTTTCTCAATTGTCTTTAAGAGATTGCCTTAGCAAAAAACTAATCAAATTGAAGGTCATTGAGTTAGAGATCACAGACGTATTAAATAAATGGACGAGTCAAAGTTAGGATGTAATTATTATCTAAATTGTTAATTTTTGTTTTTTCTAGATCACCCACACACACGCTTGCGTGCACGCATACACACACACATATATATGTGTGTGTATGTATGTATGTATGTATGAACTATCTTTAAATTGATTGATATATTCATATAAATTATCTTAAAAAGATGAATAAAAACAAATAAATAACTCCAATTATAACGTGTATATGGTGAAATACGTTAATCAGGTTTGGTGAACAATATTGTTTATCTATTAAGTATTAAGTAGACACACGCTTGCGCGCGCACCTACACACACACATATATATATGTATGTGTATGTATGTATGTATGTATGTATGTATGTAAGTTAAACTATCTTTAAATTGATTGATATATTCATATAAATTATCTTAAAAAGATGAATAAATAAATGACTCCAACTATAACGTGTATATGGTGAAATACATTAGGTTTGGTGAACAATATTGTTTATCTATTAAGTATTAAGTAGACACATATGTTATCATCTGAGAATTTAATCCAAAAAATAAAACATAAATGTCTCTAAAGATGAGAAAATTCTACAATATCATGTTGTATTTCATGCAAATGTGAAAATGAACATTTTGATTCTCCGGACAAAGTAAATCGCTCAATTAACTACTTGTACTTGTAAAAGATGTGGGATTTGAATGCCCACATGGTTTAACCAAAAGTGAAAAGTAAGAACACTAAAAATAGTAGTATTGTTAGATTTTTTTTTTTTTTTTTTTTGTATGATATGGTTTTCAACATGCATTAATTTTCCTTGTAGACTTCCGTAAATGTCTTTATATCAAGAGCATGCAATGTATGATATAACAACACACAAGCTCAAGAGTAAAAGCAATAATAGCAATATCCCTCTGTCTCTCTTTATCTACATCTTTTGTGTGGTACAGTTACGAATTGGAAATAAAGCCTATCTGGTACACTGTCTATGAATTGAAAATACCTATCTCGCCACATCTTCTTAAAAATCAAAGAACCAGAGACTCCCCAAAAACCTACATTAAACTCATGCTACTAGCATATTATCCCATTATTACCTGGAGACCATTACGTGCTAATCATAGTACAGGGGTGATAATGACTACGTGAACTGGATGAGAATAATATGGAGATAATATAGACATTGTCACATCTTTTACACCATACGGAATACTTCACCCCATCTTGGTTAATCCTCGGCTGAATTGACTCCAAGATAATAATTACGATAATTAAGACTAATAGTAATCACTATTCTAAAAATTCCCGCCTAACTTCACTTAGGCTCTACCTAAGTGTTAAGCAGTTGGCTACTGTTCCGATTAATCCCTAGGTGTTTGAAAATTAAGAAAGCACGCAAGCAACTGCCTAGGTGGTCCGCTTACTTGCCCACCTAGGTGTTAGAAAATTAAGAAAGGACGCAAGCAACTACCTAGGCGGTCCTCTTACTCGCCCACCTAGGCACATACCTAGGTTGCGACTCTCGCTTAGACAGAAAATAGATAACTTTCATCGGGTTGTTTTATTAACACCCCACATCTTTATGAATACACCCCACATCCAAAACATGCCTCTAAAATTCCAGCTTTGTCCTCCATCTTTCTGAAGCCACCCCCCATCCCCATAAACAAATGACGGCAAAAAAGCTAGCTAGATAGCCATGGTCTACCCACATAAGAGGTTTCCGTCATCAATATCAGCACATCCAAAAACCCCACACGTTGCCGAAGTTGACAACCAAGACCAACTTTCTAATAGATCGAGAATTGTCCAACACTCTTGATTCACACATCCCATCTCCCAATTCCCTATTACCTACCGGCGAGTGGCTGATGATTGGATACATATATATATATATATATATGTATGGAGAGAGAGAGAGAGAGAGCATGGCGAGTGGCTAAGATTTTTTGCCTAGACACTGTGGTGGTTGGCAGCCGGCATAAGGGGGTGGATAGGGTTTATTTTGAACTTCAGAACTTAATTCGTTAGGGTAAAAACGCGAATTTAACTGAAAAAATAAAATTATGGGGCGTATTCATAAGATTGTGGGGTGTTAATATAATTACCCTTTTGCATTTTATTTTTTCAATAATTATAAGAGACTTGTTCAAGCTTGGATGAACACTCATTATATACTTGTTCCCCATGTTTTCAATATGTTTTAATACTATATAATCTATGTCATTTATGTATTCCCATACCATTATGAATTTTTTTTAAGTATAAGTAACATTTATTTACATATCATATAATAAATTTAATTAAAATTAAAAAGAATTGCCTAGGCCACGCCTAGACGTTTAAGCGCTAGACTCTTATCCGTAGCCCAATTAGCGCCAAACGCCTTTTATAACCTTGATAGTAACATCTGGAAAAAATACTAATTCATCCAACAACCTCAATTTAATGGATTGATGATACAAACTTGGGTATACACAAACCTTAAGGCCAGAAAAAGCTGGTGAGTTTAGCAGTTAGAGAACTCATGGGAGGTAAAACAAAACAATCACATAGAACACAGAGGAGGAGGTTATAATCATAACACAATGAAGAGAATGGTTTCAGGTTTTAGGGGTTTTATTATAACCATTTTGTTTTGGTTTTTGGTTTTTGTTTCAAAATTTTAAAAATTAAAACTAAAAACTTGTTTGATAACTGAAAATAAAAAACTAAAAAACAAAATAGTTATCAAACTAGCTTGGATTTTACACAGTATGGCTTCCCTTGACGAAGCAGGGCATTCTCCATCAACACTTTAACATGATATAGGATTGAATACCGGAAGACATTGTTGGGAACCATTCTAGGTGAATTAGGCTTCCGAGAGATTTACTTGCAGTAAATAAAATCTGAAAGATGGTTTTCAGGAGAATCATTGGATGCTAGACGCGAACCCTAATGATCCAACTACTAAATTCTTCTTCCAAATAGAATAAACAACTGCAAGACATGGACTCTCGGAGGTAGAACTTAGAGAGTAATAAAAAATAATAAAAAATTTGTATATGAGAACACAATATTTGTCTCGACTTCAACCAGAATATACTGAAAATACATAGGGTTAATACAATGTAAGAATACAAAGTACATATAATCTAACTTCTCAGCCATCTCCTCATCCTGATCATACACATTATTCTCATAACATAGAGCCTATCTGGTACACTGTCCATGAATTGGAAATACCTATATCGCCACATCTTAAAAATCAAAGAACCACAGACTCCCCAAAAACCTCCAATAAACCCAAGAACAAAGAAAATATAAAACCATGGAAGTTGTTTCCCATCATCCACATCTTCGCCATTCTCATTATCTGCTGCATCAACTACATTAGTTGTTCTGCATTCGTTTGGTAGCGGCTCCCCTCAAATGCAGAGGATTGGAAGCTTCGAAGCTGAGTGCTTCTTGGTATTGGTCCTTCAAGATCATTGTATGAGAAATTCAAATATGACAAGAAATTAAGGCCCTTCAATGATTCTAGGATTTTTCCAGTCAGATGATTTTTGGAGAGATCCAATGTATCTAAGTTTTTGAGGTTGGATATTTGGTCTGGGATGCTTCCAGAGAAGTTGTTGAAGCCAAGGCCCAACTTATGGAGAAGCCGCAGTTGGCCAATTTCAGTTGGTATATTGCCACTGATGCTATTGTTGTATAGGTATATAGATGGTGGGAAGAAATATAAATAGTTGTACTGTAACGCTTTTGCATCATCGCGAATTTTGACGAAGATAGGCAATTCAAGGTAGTTTTTATACACTTGAGCCGAAGTTCCTTCATATAGCAACATCGCTAGTCTGCAAAGTTCCTTCGGAAATTCACCTGAAATTTGGTTGGACCCTAAATTTATGTAAAAGAGCCTAGGAAGAGTCCCTAACCAAATAGGAACTGACACTGTGATTCTGTTAAAATCCAAATTCAAGATCTCTAGCTTCTTGAGCTTAGATAACCAAAATGGTATTTGACCAGTGAGCTCACAACGACTCAAAGACAATATTTGAAGATTTTTGAATCCATCAAAATCAACGAGGCCATCATCAGCTGGAATTTCCTCACCTATAAACCTATATGAAAAGGTCACGAATATGAGACTTTCACAACGCATCAATATGTTCATTGCCCCCATGAGGTTGGTCCATTTGTTACCACTAAGCGAGAGGAAGGACAAGTATTTCAAGAAAAGAATCTCAGGTTGTATTTGTCCCTCTGTGTCGTTTAAGCTGAGTCAAATTGCTTTAAGAGACTTGCATGAATAAAGGCTTACTGGAAAGGGGCCAGTGAAGTTGTAACTCCATAGGTCAATCTTACTAAGTTTACTAAGTTTGGAGAAATTGAGTGTGGAGATGTCTCCTTCCAAGTTGTTATCCCCCAAAAGTAATTCTGAAAGATTGGTGCAATTCATCAGAGATGGGGGTAGAGTGTTGGAGAGTTGACTTTTTGTAATTAGTTTAGTTACCTATTTTTTTTAGTCCTTATAATCAGATTGTAATTAGGTTATTTGATGTTTATTTCTTTCCTTGTAAATCACTCTTGTACATTATATATTTTCCTCCTTGGTGAGAAGAATGATATCAAAAAATTAAGCCCCAAAGATAAGCTCAAATTAGCATGGTATCAGAGCAGAAATCCTAAGATTTCTGCTCTGCCTGTTCCCTCAAGCAAACTCGACGCTCCCATGAAGAACCTACCACCACTCCACGGTGGAAACAATTTCATCCTAACCAATCCTACCCCTATACTAAACACTACAACCCTAAACACTACTACCCTAACTGACCCTACCATGAATCCTCCTGTTTCGAGTTCTTCCGACATGCCTCCAGAGTCCTCAGGTAACTATGGTTATGCTTTTAATATGAATAATTGTGATACTTAGTCCGATTGGATTATTGACTCTGGTGCCACAGATCATATGACCTATGACCCCACTGATTTATCTTGTGATACTATTCCATTCGACGAAATATTACTAATGTTAATGGTGTCACCTCACCGGTAACTGGTGCTGGCACTGTACGCCTCACGCCTACCCTCTCTTTGCCGCATACACTACTTGTACCTTCACTAAAGCATAAATTAATGTCTCCTGGCTAAGCTACTGAGCAATTGAATTGTTGTGTACTATTGTATCCGAAGTTTTGTCTTATTCAGGATATTCTCACAAAGGAGATAATTGGTCGTGGTACTAAGAGGGGGGATCTTTATTTTGTGGATGATGTCAGTACAGGACAGGTCAATCTCGCCCAAAGAGTCGTTGATCACAAACGGTGTCAGATATGGTTATGGCATCACCGTTTGGGTCATCCGTCTTTTAGTTATTTACAGCATATGGTTCCGGATTTATTTGTTGGTTGTTCAGTTTCAGACTTTAAATGTGACACTTGCGTACTTGCCAAGAGTCACCGTGTTTCTTATCCGTTAAATTCTAATAAAAGTGATATTCCTTTTGGTCTTGTTCATTCGGATGTTTGGGGACCATCTCCGATTACTACTTCATCTGGTATTAAGTGGTTTGTAACGTTCATAGATGATTGCACACGAATGACATGGTTATACCTTCTTAAGCATAAAAGTGATGTGTTGCTGGCATTTAAGACATTCCACACCATGGTTCAGACACAGTTTTCTACTAAAATCCGGATTTTGCATTCTAATAATGATGGTGAATATGTTAATAATGATTTTACACATTATTTAACTAATCACAGAATCCTCCACGAGACTACTTATCCTCAGACTCCTCAACAGAATGGGGTGGCTGAGTGCAAAAATCGCCATATATTAGAAACAGCTCGATCGCTATTGATTGGGGCGGATGTTCCACGCTCCTCTTGGGATGTTTCTCTTCAGACTGTCACTTACCTTATCAACCAGTATGCCATCCAAAGTATTGAATTTTCTTACACCTTTGCAAGTTCTTGCTACATTCGTGCCTCTACCATCCGTTTTGGTGCTCCCATCGCGAGTTTTTGGATGTGTTGACTTTGTTCATCTACATAAAAATCAATGGACAAAACTTAACCCATGTGCTCTCCGGTGTGTTTTCATGAAGGTATGGATTACATCAGAAAGGGTACCGTTGCTACCACCCTCCTTCATGTCGGATGTATATTACCATGAATGTTACTTTTTCTGAGTCTGAGATGTATTACTCTTCAGCTTCTTCCAACCCTCCTCTTCAGGGGGAGACACTGCAAGACGAGCAGGTTTGGACCATGGCTGCTGCTACCACTGATCTTCCGTTGCCACTATTAGCCGAGCTCGCAGTGGCTGCACTGCCAGCCTAGCCAACAGAAGCAGCATCGCTGCTCACAGAACTAGCGGCAGGCACTGCAGTGCTGTGCTTACCCACAGCAACAGTGCAGCCACTTGCCAATCTTAAGACTTCTACTGATACGACTCCCTCCTTATCTCAAAATATAGTACCACCAGAGGACCATACTCCAGAGAATATTCCTGAGGTAAGATCTACTATCCCTATTGATGTATCCGATGTTCCGAATTATCAGTTACCTTTCAGGCACAATCGGGGAAAGCCACCCAATCGATATTCACCGGAAACAACAAAATGCTCTAAATATCCTATTGCCAACTATGTGCCATCACATAAATTATCAAAACCCGGCAAAGTTTTTGTACAACAAATATCCAATGATAGCACACCAAGTTCATTGAAGGAGGCATTATCTGATGATCAATGGGCCAAGGCAATGGAGGAAGAAAAATGGATGCACTTTAGAAAAATCAAACATGGGATTTAGTTCTGCTACCCCGAGGAAAGAAGAGAGCGGGATGTCGATGGGTGTACGCCATCAAGTACAAAGCTGATGGGTCGATTGAACGATACAAAGCACGATTGGTGGCCAAAGGATACACTTAGACGTATGGTGTTGATTATACAGAAACATTTGCTCCGGTAGCAAAGATTAATACGATAAGAGTGTTACTTTCGTTGGCGGCTAACTTGGATTGGCCATTACAGCAATTTGATGTGAAAAATGCTTTCTTACATGGTAATCTTAAAGAAGAAATGTATATGGATATTCCACTTGGTTATGCGTCGGTTTCATAACCCTGGACTAGTGTGTAAGTTGAATAAGGCATTGTATGGATTAAAACAATCACCTCGGGTATGGTTTCGTAGGTTTCGGACGGCTATAAGGAAGTATAGGTTCAGGCAGAGCAATTCCAATCATACACTTTTCTTGAAATGTCGAATGGGTAAATTGACGGCACTTATTATTTATGTGGATGATATGATTGTTACAGGTGATGATAAAGAGGAAATCTCAAGGCTGAAAGATTACTTAGCAACTGAGTTCGAGATGAAAGATCTTGGTGGATTGAAATATTTCTTGAGCATAGAAGTAGCTCAATCTAAACAGGGTATATTTCTATCTCAAAGAAAATATGTTCTTGACTTGTTAGCTGAAATCGAAATGCTTGATTGTAAACCGGCTGACACCCCTATAGTCCAAAATCACCATCTTGCCATGCACCCTGATCAAGTTCCCACTAACAGAGATTGTTATCAAAGGTTAGTTGGGAGGTTAATTCATTTATCTCACACCAGGCCTGATATTGCATACGCAGTAAGTGTTGTCGATCAGTTTATGTATTCTCCGAGTGAGGCACATATGGGTGCAGTTGAACGCATCCTACAATACCTGAAATCCTCACCAGGTAGAGGTATCATGTTTTCCAAGAATGATCATTGCCAAATAGAAGGTTACACCGATGCAGATTGGGCAAGCAACGTTACTGATCGTCGGTCCACATCTGGTCACTTTACATTTGTGGGAGGAAACTTAGTGACTTGAGGAAGTAAGAAATAGAAAGTGGTTGCTTTATCAAGTACAGAGGCGAATACAAGGGTATGGCAAAAGGAGTATATGAACTATTATGGCTTCAGAGGTTACTTGGTGAACTTGGGTATCCTTCGAATTCAGCCTCATGATTTATTTGTGATAATAAAGCAGCTATCGATATCTCACATAACCCAATTCAACATGATCGCACAAAACACGTGGAAGTTGACAGACACTTCATTAAGGAGAAGTTGGATGGGAATATTATTCAATTCCCGTTTGTAAAGTCAGAGGATCAATTAGCGGATATCTTAACTAAAGCTATTGCAAGTCAAGCGTTCTACAACTCTCTTGTCAAGTTGGGCATGAACGACATTTATGCACCAACTTGATAGGGAGTGTCGGAGAGTTGACTTTTTGTAATTAGTTTAGTTACCTTTTTTTTAGTCCTTATAATCAGATTGTAATTAGGTTATTTGATGTTTATTTCTTTCCTTGTAAATCACTCTTGTACATTATATTTTTCTCCTTGGTGAGAAGAACGATATCAGAAAATTAAGCCCCAAAGATAAGCTTTAAGTAGCATAGAGAACCTTCAAGATAGTTGAAATGAAGGAAGATGAATTTCAGCTTAGAAAGCTTCCCAAAATGGAAAGGCATCACACCACTGAAGTGGTTATAGTAGAGGTTCAGGATTGCAAGATTGGTGAGGTTGACAATTCTATCACTAATGGATTCGTAAAGCGAATTAACGGGTAATGCAATTTCTTCAAGGGTAGTAGCATTATAGATATCTTCTGGAAGTAATCCTGAAAGGTTATTGTAACCGGCACGAAAAACTTGCATTTTGGAACACTCCCCTAATCCTTGAGAAATTTTGCCACTAAATTTATTGAAGGAAAAATCCAATACCTTGACCAAGGGAGAATAATGGAGACAAATCGAGGATCTGATAGAACCCGAGAATGTGTTATTGCTTACATTGAAACTAGTCAAATTTCTAGTTTGATGGAAGAATGAAGATGGAATAACACCATGGAAGTGATTGGTGGAAAAATCCACCACTTGGATACTACTAGATGATAGAGAAAACGGGAGCTCACTGGAAAGAATGTTATAGCTCAAATCAAGGATCTCAAGACGATTCACGAAAGGGAAGAATCCAATTTCTCCTATTTCTAGTGAAATTGAACCATAAAGTGAATTGTGAGAGAGATTTATGTAGGTGAGATGTGTGAGATTTCTAAGTGAGGGATGAATGCCTCCTTGAGTCCCTTGAAGGGCAAGTGTAAATGGGTGATCCAACCATTTTGATTGCAAGTGATACCCTCCCAATAGCAACAATTGATGGAAGTCCAATTTAAAGGAGAAGGAGAAGAGAGAGCAAGGGTGAAGGCCATGAGAGAGCTCTTCTAAGTTTGGTGGCATGCATGATTTGTAGATATAAAGCGAGAGAAAAATAGGATGGAAAGGAAGCCAAGAAACATTGGGTTATCAGGTTGCACTAGCATGCTATGTTGTTGGTGAGAGGTGAGATATTAAGTTCCTCTCAAGTTGTATATATATTAGAGGAAAATAAGGTTTAGAAGCAAAATTAACCAAAAGCTTAAGAGAGATTAATTATATCAATTATAATGTAGAATTCTTGACAACTACACATGCAAAGATGCTCAACTACTCCAAAACTTTCTCATGGAATTAAGTTTTGGTCTCATTAATGTTATCTCGAATAAATACTTGTCACCTATTCAAAAAACGCATTGTCCGTTCAATTAACAATTATAACGTGATAAAATAATGACATGAGAAAATCTTTCCAACCATGTGCAAGACCCAGTCTCGACTCCCAGAACCTCCCAAGAACCAACGGAGAAGTTAAACATCCTTTTCAATTTTATTCCGGCCATAGTTGACAATCTCAGTCCGGTAAATTTCCTGGAAACCACCCTCATGTGTATAAGTTCCAAAATTCTCTAGTCTCATATATGCCACTAGACATATATAATGTTCTTTTTAATATTCTTTGACATGACATTAGACATATAAAATCTTGAACAATTAAATAAATCTTTTCATATCCATTATTTATCGGTGGTCATGTGTGTGTACATTGTCTACTTTAATTTTTTATAAATGTTGACCAAAAAATGTTTTGATGCATAATTTTCAGAGGGTTGCCATATGTGTGTAATTTTTCTTGTAAGAACCTCAAAGTCTAGTCTTCCTCTTTTGTTTAAGGAGATCTTGAAAGTATACTTTAATTTTTTTTTTCTTCTTGGACTCGAATCATATTTCTAACCCAATACATTTCCACATTCTTCACGACTTTAACTACCCCTAAAACCCTAAATACAATTTTAAATTTATTTTTAGTAAAACTATAGCATTAATAAGTTATATAGTTAGTTAGTGTCGTTTCTGAGTTTTTGGTGGCCTAGGACGAGAAACTACAATGAGGCCTTTCCGACACATTATTTTCACAAGAAAACTAAAATGTAAATTTTTTTTATATATCCCTTTTTCAGGCTTAAAACATATTAGTTTGACCAAAATAAATAAAGGGGGCTTTTAGATCCAGGTCCAAAAATGTAGAGTGTTTTTAGGAGTGAGTCCAGTTATCTAATTATATGTTTTTATTTCTTTTATACTCATTTTATATTTTCTAAAAATATTAAAAATCAATTAAAATCTTCTAATATTATGCATTTTCCAACTCCAAAAGAATATATTTAATATCTTATAACAAAAAAACTAATATACTAATATAAATTTATCTGCAAAACATTCTACCCTAACTCAAGTAACAAATATATGAATGTATATAATACCTATACGTGAGATATGAAACCTAATTAAAAGGTAAAAAAACATAACATACCTACAAGCAAGACACATTAATCTGTGACAGGTTGATTATAAAAAAAAAGAATCTGTCATATAGGTAGATAAATATAATTAACCTGTGATATAGGTTGATTATTAAAATTAAAAATAAAATCTATAAATGGGGTTTAAAGTAGGAGGAAGAACAAGAAATAACAAAAAGATAAATAAAAAGAAATAAGCAAAGAGATAATTGGGAAGAAATTTGATTTTTATAATAAATCTTATCATTGAACAAATAACTATTGATAATTAGATAATTAAATATAACAAATTGGACTTATTTTAATAAATTGGATTATTCCTACTATTGGCTCAAAAAATTGAACTTATATCAAGTTTCCCCGTAAAGTAAAGATATAAGTATACATAAAAAAATTTTGGGGCCCCCTTCATGCGAGGTCCTGAGCGGTTCGATTGGGGAATACCTCTTTACAAAAGTAAACCCCTTCACACCCAATACATCCAGTTACCTAATATTCACTACAATTATTTTGATTATATTGATGTTTGGACTAATATCTTTCTTCATCAGACAGAAGATTTCAGTCATTCATGGTTCATTAATTTTGGCAAAAATTTAAGTTAAAGTTTCCTGCATGGTTCCCAAAATGGTGGTCAATCCATGGCCCAACAACCATTCTCCTACCAGAAGAACTTATGCAGAAAATCTCCATAAATTTCCAACCAAATTTAACAAAAGCAAATTCAACTACAGAATTACACTTCTACCAATATTCATGGCCAAGTACAAAGTCCTATAGATCTTAAAGTGGAATTATGAAGTTGTTACCAGTGAAGTCTACAGAGTAAAATGAGTCAAGTGGTGGGATAAATTCAATCAACAAAGGGTTATCAGTCAGGTCCTCTCTGAATTTCCCATCACTCCACCTCCAGTTATTCCAACCAAGCCATTGCCGCTAATCATTCCAGCATAGTCATTATCGGACATTAGTCCATCCTTATCCCTCAAAGGAACAATCAAGTCACCCAAGACAACAAGAACAAAGAGCAAGGACAAAGCTGCCCAGCTCCAAGACCTAGCTCAACAATTACTTGCAGAAGCAGCAATGCTCCACTCTGAACATGAAAAAGCTTCAGACTCAGAATCTTCAGATGCATCCTCACAGCAATCAGTCGATCCAAATAGCCAAATAGCTAAATGGACCAACTACCAGGATTTTCAAGACCCATTTGCATGAAGCCATGTGAACATAGTCTTCATGTCAAGTCACTATGTGAACACCATGTCAATTACCATGTGAAAATTCAGTCATCATTCCAAGTCACCATATGGAGCGTTCAGGAAATATTCGCATCAATAATTCCGACAAGGCAATTTAGTAAGCTGAAAGAATCCAGCACATTCCATAGTAAAAGCAGCAATTGTTCCAACAAGTTCACTATTCATTAACAGTAAAAGCAAGTCATCATCCATCTCGTGCTTCAACGGTAAAGGAATCAATCTTCCAAGTCTCTTTTCCAAGTCTATAAGAAGATGACTCCGGAGAAAGAGAAATCAAGTTAATTTTCCACAAATCAAACTTTCTTTGGGTTCACACTGTATCCAAAGAAATTTTCAAATGTCAAGGATGCATGTGTGCACCAATATCCTTTTCATTAGTCATTTTCTTATTTGCTTTCTCAATCGTCAGTAAATCAATTGTAAGTTCCAGTGTAAGTTTTGCAATAAAACTTATTTTCAAATTATATTTGCATCATTATTTTCATTATGAATATTTTCATAACAATTAATTTCAATTGGCATAGAATTCTTACTCACAGTTAATTCAACGAATATCTCAAGTTCAAGGTCAACACAGATCAGTTAATCATACATTTCTTTTTATTCATCTATCACAATCGATTCCATACTTTGTTTAATCCTACATATGAACCTCATTTGCTCCCACTTCTGCCCCATTTGGTATCAGAGCCAAGTGAGTGGTAATTAAGTTATCATCTTTATAGTCTATTCATATTGTTCACATTTCAACTTTTTAGTTACAGTTTACCTTATATGTTAACTTTCTGAGTAGGATTGTTTACTCTCAAACCAAACAGTAAGTCGTGTTCCAAACAATGAGTCCATAGGATTGGCATGAGCGGAGAGAGAGTTTAGCAAACAC